TCTACAATGGTTCATGTTCCCATTGAGGACCTATCGTAAAGATCATATAAATCGTTATTTTCTTTAGGATTTTCTTGTGTTCTTATTTCGGCCTTGCTCTAATCATCCACGTATGATTGCGTTTCTAGTGAATCGGGTGTCATACGAGATCCTGTTTCATCAAGTATGTTTCCTCCTTGACTAAAAGCTTGTTCAACCACAACAGTAGAGACCGGAGCTGCTAAAACTTGTTTTGCAATTAGCGAAAGTGTTGGAAATATATTGATATGATGACTCCACCAATCTAGAATTGGAAATTTATTATCTACAAAACTATCATCAAACTCGAAAGAAATGGTAAGATAATTATCAAATTCAGAAAAAGAACCGGATTCCCTGGGTCTTTTTTGTCTTTGTAGTAAAATACTTTCAGTAACACCAACACTTACTCTTTTAGTTGGGAATGATTGATTATTGAATGATTGATTATTGAATTGAGAAGAATTAGAAGAAGTAGATGAACTAGAAAATTGAACAAATTGTCTACATAATTCTACTATATTTTGTCTAACTTCATGCAATACTACATTTATATTAACACTATATTCTATATTAAGATTTAGTAATTCATAATAAAGAGTCAAATATTGAGATAAAACTTCAATTTTACATTTAGGATCAAAGCAACATGATAAAGGGTTAGCACATTTTTAAAATAAGATAACCATTTTTTTTTTCATTGAAAAAACACAATTTTGTAATATAAAATCATTTTCAAATTAACTAACAATATTTAATGCATATAGGCAAATAAATGCGATGTGGATAATAAACCCCACTAAATTTTAGGTAGCATTCATTAAAAAATTTTTTTAAAATATCTAAAATTTTTGCACAAATATCCCAATTTTGTGGATATAATTAATTTCTTTTCAATATGTTTAGTTAACAAAAATGCACAATAATCTTTATACGAAAAAAGGACTCGTTTAATAATTCATACTTTTAATAATTCATATGTTGAATTCCAACGAGTTGGGACATCCCTTGAAAAATGTTTTGGTCTTTTATTATTTTCCTTACAAAATTTAGCCAGCTTTTCATCACTTGGGGATGTCCCATAAATATGAAATAGCTCCTCTAATTGGAGAAATATAAGATTCAAGAACTTTTAAATCATCTTGTACACATAAATTTAAAACATGGCAAGCACATCTTATATAAAAAAATTTCCCACCAATATTTGGTTCACAAATTGATTTAAGTTCAGTAATTGATTTAGTGTTAACAGAAGCATTATCAAATGAAATTGAAAAAAATATTTTTGTCAATTTATATTCATCTACAATTGAAACAATTATTCTATAAATATTAATTGCAGTATGTTTATCATCGAAAGCACAAAATGCAATAATTCTTTTTTGAATTTTCAATCATCATCAATTCAATGACATGTAATGTAATTCTTTTTTGAATTTTCAATCATCATCAATTCAATGACATGTAATGCCTAAACAAGAATGCATTTGCCAATGATCACAACAAATTGAAACACAAATTTTCATTTCAGAAAATAAAAGTTCTAAATCTTTTTTTTTCTTTTTTATATAAAGAAATAATAGTTCGTTTTATAGTATTTCTTGGCACTCTTTTAGCAGAAGGATTTAAAGCTTTTTTACAATATTGATTAAAACCTACTTTTTCACCAAAACTAAAAGATAAATGTTCCATAGAAATCATTTGAACTCATTCTTCTTTTTGTTGTTTTTCAGAATACTGAAATAAAGAAATGTTAGAAATGCGTACGCAGAATTTTGTGTGTGAGACCGATCAACTCCTTTTTTTTTTATGTTTTGCCTCCAAATGCTTCTTCTAAAATTATCCATAACTGCCCAATTGTTTGGATTTATAATATTTTCCACAATGATTGCAAATTACATCGAACATTTTGTTGCCTTTGAATTTCTTCGTGAAATGAATGGCAAATATGTCGGAACTTTGTGTTACTCTTCGAAGAAGTTGTGTACCTTGCTCTTGCTCTTCATCTTCCTCTTGTTGTAATTGCTCATCATTAAATTCAGATTCTTGTATTGGAATTTCTGAATTTTCATTTGGATATCCTTCAAGATTATATTGTTCAGGAGTAAAATCGAAGATGTCGTTTGTAGGGATAGATGAATATTGTGTTGCTCCAATCTTTCCCTTGCCCTTAGCGGAACTTGAGTTTCCTCTACTTTGAGTTTCCTCCACTTGTCATTATATGAAAATAATATGTAATTATGTAATTTGCGAAATTGAATAAAAAAAAAATTAGAGAGAATTTAATTAGATTTTGAAATTTGAAAAAAATTAATTCAACAATAATTTGAGAAAATAATTAGAATTGAAACTTTGAAGAAATTATTCTTGCAATATTTTGACAATAATTTATGAATGAGAAATTAGAGAGATTGTAGAGAAATTATCTTGCAATATTTTGGACAATAATTTATGAATGAAAATTAGAGAGATTGTAGAGTAGAGAAGAATAATATAGAGTAGAGAGAGTAGAGACCATTTTGTATGAGGAGATTGTAAATGGAATGAGGTATTTATAATAAATCAAAAAAATCATTTTCTCACAAATACCCTTGAAACTAGCCGTTTATAGTTGTTAGGGGGGATAATTGGAGATTTCACAAAAAAAATTGAAAGAAAGAAACTTCTGCCTACTGGAATCGCCGGTTCTAGCAGTTAGAAATAGAATTTAAATATTTTTGGAATCGCCGGTTTGAACCGGCTAAAAAAATCAGCGATTCCATTTGGTTCCAGCCGGTTCTTGGAACCACCAGTTCACGGTTTCAAAAATGGTGGAACCGAAACCGAACCATAGGCCATCAGTTTCGGTTCAGGTTCGACCCGATTTCGGTTCCCACCAATTCTGATTTCGGTTCAGACCGATTCCTAACAATCGGTTCCGGTTCTGGGAACCACAATATGGCCACCCCTACTCCTGTGCACTCTAACTACAAGTCGTTTTTCCTCTGTCTTCTAATCTGAATGAATCACTCTCTCTTCCTCCAGACGCTCTCTTATTCCTCACTGAAAAAACTCCCAATCGTCCCCGTACCATCATAGAAATAGTATTTTGGGAAAGATTTCTTTTATACTTTTAAGAAATGTGAAACAACATTTTTATCCAAAAAATAAAAATTCAAAGTGCTCCTAATTATCATTGATGTTGTGAAGAGATGAAGAGACTTACTGAGGTGTAGGAACAATTCCATATATTGAAAAAAAAAACGATAAACTTTTAACAATTTTTGAAGAGTTCTTATTATCATTAATTTGGTCTACAAGCGTAGCCATGAATCCTATCTTTACAAGTAATTTTCATAACTAAATGACTGTTTTTCTTTTCTTCTCTTTTTTTTTTTTTTTTTTTTTTTTTTTTAAGATGTTTACCATAAATGTTAAGAGCTCTCAACCTATTCGTGGATAGTTGTGAGATGGTTTGTAATCCTTTTCTTTATAAGTTCAGGTTATTCATTCCATACGAAAGTTGAGCATTAATCAATAATCCCTGTATGCTATAATTTTTTTTTTTTTTTTTTTAATGTTTACCATAAATGTTAAGACTTCAACCTATGTGAAGTTGTGAATGGTTTGTATCTTCTTATATAGTTCAGGTTATTCATTTCCATTACGAAAGTTGAGCATTAATCAATAATCTGTATTCTATAATTTATATTATTATAATAATATAACAATAATAATCTATATCTATAATCTACCTATACCAAATAAAGGGAAATAATGAGATTTTCTATAATAGGCTTAGATTAAGTTTTGATTCAGAAGTTGGGTTGAACTTTATTTTATGACTACTTTACTATATAAAAATATAATTAAGTACATAGAGATATCATTACGAAGTAGTTTTCAGGTAAAGTGTAATGTAAATTAACCACTGTATTTATTTTAATGTAAATAAAAACTTATATTTTAATATTATATAATTAAAAAAAATTAAATGAATACATAAAAACATGTATAATCAATATGCAATGTACGTTATAAAAAAAATTAGTATATGTAAAAGTACAAATGGAAGAACATTGGGTTCTTAAAATACCTCTACTAAGTTTATCTATTAACAAAAATATTTTGAGAGATTTTAATTCTATTGGAAAAAATAAAGGTAATTTAATTTTAATAGATTATTAGTTTTCCTATTTAAATATAAATTCTTTAGTTAGTATATTTAAATATAAAACTTTATAAATAATTATGTTATTGCAAAATGCGACTAACGTTTTTTATTTTAAATAATACATCATTTTTATATCTTAAAGATGATAAGATTATAATAAACATATGATAAGAATATAATTAATTATATCAAATGAGACCAAGTGATTACACTAATACTATTTACAATTTGCATTAATTATATTATTTTAATACTAAAATTTCTTATTATGTTTGATTAGTATAAATAAATAATTAATATTTTTATTTACAATAAAATATTTCTATGAAGGATAAGTTAATAAATACTTATTTACAATAAATTCTAGAGTAAATTGACAATATATTATTTTATATACTATAAATTATATATTTAGTAATATTGCTTGCTTGCCTAATAAATAATGCATGCAGCAACTTGAATATTTTACTGTTTAATTATTATTTAAATTAATCATAATTAATTAGATTTTGTTAATTGGATGACATAAGAAAATTATAATCAATAATTAATGCTTTTATATTTGTTTCACTCTTCATGTCCAACTTTGAAAATTACTGGAGAGGATAGAAAAAAAAATTGGCATTGCTATATTATATAAAGTTTTTTAACATACAGATACATTTATTTAAAAAAAAAAAAAAAAAAAAAAAAGTTTTTTTAACATACAGATACAATTTATTAAAAAAAAAAAAAAAAAAAAAACGTATATACACATATTTATATTTATTAATTTTAAAAAGTCACTAACTATAAGCAACTTTTACAGGAGCCAATTCCCATCACGCTGAAAAAAAAAAAAAAAAAAAACGTATACTCCTTTTATTTATTAATTTAAAAAGTCACTAACTATAAGCAACTTTAACAGGAGCATCCCATCAGCGCTGTAATCTGTTCTCAATCCTTACGAACAGTGTGACCTGAAACAATACCAACATATATAATTTTAATAAATCAATTGACTGAAAATTAAAAAATTTAACATTTTATTTGAGAAGGTAGTTATTAAAATTAAAAAAAAAAATCTGTTTAAATATTCTTATTGCACAAAATTTTTCTTAAAATAATTTTTTTTCATCTAAATATAATATTATAATTAAAAATACTTACTCCCACATTTGGTTCCAGGACTGAATGCTAAGCCACAGGTCTGAGCCACATAAACAATTTTTTCCACGCTGACCATTTTTTCCACTTCCGGTGTGACATGCTTGCAAATGCAGTTCATGTCTGCATTTTTCAATACATCGCAACACTCTTTAGAAGGAGGAATTTTTGGTCCTGAAATTTTGACATACTGGAAACATTGTACTCCGGCTTCTTTAAGTTTGTTGTCGTCGCAGTTGTCTGAAAAGCCCGAAACCTTAGAGTCGCTCAAAATTAGGGCTCCTACCATGATCAATGTTGCTAAGAGCAGGCTCTGAGTCTTAATATTTGCCATCTCTCTCAAAACAATGATGATTTTGATTTTGATTTTGATTTTGATTTTCCACGCTCTTGATGATGAAGGTGATGCAGAAGTATATATAGTAGTTTTTGAGGGAAAAGAGTAGTTAGAATAAAGTAAAAAAGTGAGGCAAATTAATTAAAAAATCTAGAATAATAAATGCTGAGGGAGTTGTCATTGATAACTATGGATTATGTTTAAATAAAGGGAAATCGCTACGGATTCTATTTTAATGAAGGGAAATCTTCAGTTAGCTTATAGCAACATTTGTAAACATGAATTTACAGTAGTATCCAACGAGATTTGATTCGCAAGGTCAACACAAACTAAAGAAATAATTTAATGCTCTTTGCATTACTCGTTTAATAATAATAATGCTATCTTTCTGCAAAATATAAGTCATTCAAGGAAATTTTTATATAAGGATTCAGGAAGTAATTAATTTTTTTATATTATAACAAAATCAACAGTAATTTAACTGAATTATCCTGCATCTCAAAATTAATAGTTACTTGTAAAAATATTTATTCTATCTGATGTAAATAAAGATAATATTGAAAATAACATTATTTATTAATTTTTAAAGTACTCAAAACGATTTATATATCGAGACGTGAGAGTAAATAATAATAATAATAATAATAATAGTCCAGAGAATAAACATGGATCGCACAAACGTTTTGAGCCAAATAGGCTGAAATTGGGTTATCCAACAATTGATTTTGAATCCTCAATCCATAAAAGGCACCGTCTAAAGCCCAAGTCAATTTAGATAAAGCTAGCTTGCTGAATGGCTGATGTCCTCATAAATGATTGAAGCCCATGTGACAAATATTGTTTATTGATGCTCGTAGTAAGTCATGTGTCATAAGATAATAATACAAGGCTTTTCCTTTTACACTAATGATTTTAAATATACTAGTCTATCTATACTGCACACAAACGTGAGAATATGAATCTTTAATAAAATCTAAAATATCCTGAAATAATTTAAGTCGTGATTAATTAAAAAATTATATTTTGTTAGTTGATTGGATATAATTTATTAAAATTATTTTTAAATAAATATATATAGATAATTAGGCATTTCAAAATTTTAAAAATATATATTAGATAATTAGGCATTTTCAAAATTTTAAAACTTTATCTTTTTTAAATATAATATATAATTATATATATATATTATATATATACTATATATATATATATAATGTGTGTGGTGTGTGTGTTTGTGTGTTAATGATTTTATCTTTTTATTTTTTTTATTTATTTTTTACATATTCTGATTCTATTTTAATTATATTTAAATGATTTTTGTTTGTGTGTTAATGATTTTATCTTTTTATTTTTTTTAATTTATTTTTTACATATTTGATTCTATTTTAATTATAATTTAAATGATTTTATTAAAGAGAGACAAATAAGAAAAAAATATATATATCCTTTTTATTAATAATGTTTTTTATTTATATTTGTATGTTTGATTGAATGTATTTTTCAAAAATGAATTTTCAAATAGAATATATATAATTAAGTCTTTCAAAATTTTTATTTTATATTTTAAAATTTATTTTTAAATAAAATCAACATATAAGTATCTGAATGGATGGTGAATAGTAAAAGTTTTAATTTCAAAAATATATATAATATTTTATTGTTATATCTATATATCTATTTATAAAATTGAAATAAAAAGAAATTTTATAAATAGACTTGATACTGTCTCTTCTCAGCATTTTTTTTTTCAAAATTTAAAAATAATTACTTTATTTATTTAAAAGATTTTGATTAGATGATTAATTTATCTGTTATAAATTAATTAATTAATCTATATTTAAAGATAATTCTTAAATCATTAAAAAGTATTTTATATTATATATATATATATACACGCACGGACAATACACCATGCCATGTTTTTTGCTTTTTGTAGGAAAGACGTAAATTTAATTGCATATTTTTTTGAAAATTTTGAAATTAAAAAATCAATTATTGTAACTCGAAATAATTTATTTTTAAAATAAATAAAATTTAAAAATTAAATAATTTCCAAAAATAAAAAAGAAATGAGTTCGCAACTTAATTGGCAAAATTAAAAGAGTTGTTTTTAGTTATTTGAATTTTTTTTTTTTTTTGGCTAATATGTATATGGTGATGTGACGTTAATGATTTCAAAACTTTGATCCCAAAAATGGTAATTGTGAATAACTTTTAATAGACACTTCATATGGCTATAATTGTAATGAAAAAATAAGTTTATTGTCATTATTGTGAAAATTAAAAAAATTAGCTAAAATTACAAAAACAGTAAAAGTTTAAACTTTTTTAATCATTTAGCGTAGGAAAAAAAAATCAATCATTACAAAATTATTATCATCATCGGTTAATCAAATGGTTCGACATGTTCATTTAGCATCTCTTAAGCAAAAATAACCAAAGTTATTTGACTCTTTTATATATATATATATATATATATGGCATGGTGACATGGTGCTAATAGTATCGAAATGTGGACCCTACTAACGACAACATCAGCAACTTTTAATAAACATATAATCAGATTATAATTGGAATAAAAAAATAAGTTTATATCATAATTGCTGAAAATTGAAAAATAGTTAAAATTATAAAAATTGTTAAAGTTCAAACTTTTTGTTATTTAGCCTATATAAAAAATCAATTATTGTCATTACCAATCAATCAAATTATTTAGCCTATTCATCTAAAATGTCTTAAGAAAATAGCTGAAAATTTTTAATTGATATAGAAAATATTCATTATGATATAAGAGGTGCGACCTGACATAATGAGCCAATATTCACATCATATTATAAATGAGTAATTTTGTAAGTGCACGAAATCATAACAAGTAATGAAAGGTAAACAAAACATTATTCCCACAAGAATTATTTGTCCATTATCAAAATGATTTAATACATTATTATTTAAATAACAATTAAAAGAATTATTTAAAAAATTATAAGAAATAAATTCGAGTTAGACAATTGTTTACGTGGTTTTACTCTTTCTTATTTTATATTTGACGGTCTCCGTTCTTCCTTATTTAATATTTGATAAATTTATAATTAAATTTCTACAAAAATTTTTCAAAACAGGATCAAGATTGTAAAAGAAGTAAAATTAAAAATTAAATAAAAATTACCTATATTTATTAAAAACTATTAAAATTCTAATAAAACTATATTAAAATAACTATGAAAATAAATCTATTACATTAGACATTAAGTAGATAGAGTTTATTTATGAAAAGATTCATGAACTATTAACGACTGTTCAATAAATTAAATTAAAAAATATATATTTACAAGAATGACAATAGTATATTATGAATATATTACAAATAAATGAAAAATCGATGCCTATTATAATTTAATTGCAATAAAATATATATTTTTGTGGGCCTAATAACTAAAAAAACCTGAATCTTGGCATTCAACCATTTTGATCAATTCTTTTAATTGTTACAATTGATACAACGAATTAATTTTTTCTTAACAGTTGTGGGTTCTGTCCATCAACTGTTATTATTATGCTGATGTGGCTATTAGTAGGATACTCGCCATGATATGTCACTTGTTGACGATAAATTTACAAAGTATAATTGTTAGAAGAATTGCCAAAATTATTAAAAAGATCAAAGTTCAGGATTTTCTTTAATCATTAGGTCAAAGTTTGCTTATCAATGTTAGTCAAGATTATTACATGTACACCGAGGCATACCCAAGTGTATATACAATTTAACAATAGATCTAAATTTTTTTTATTAAAATTAATTTCTAATATTTATATAATGTACCACCGAGGGCATTACCCAAGTGTATATTACAATTTAAACAAATAGATCTAAATTTTTTTTTATTTTTTAAAATTTAAATTTCTAATATTTATTATAATTTATTTATCAAATAATAATTTTATAAACTTGTTATATTCAAATTTATTTTAATAAATATAGTTAAATATTTTTATAAATTAATTACAATATTTTTTTTTTATTTTTAAATGATATATTTATAATAATTTGCATTTTGGTAAATCATTCCAATTATCCCGGGCATAAGCCGCACTAATATAGTTAAATATTTTATAAATTTAATTACAATATTTTTTATTTTAAATGATATATTATAATAATTTGATTTTGGTAAATCATTCAATATCCGGCATAGCCGACTAATCTAGATTTGAATTTTGCAGAGGCCCATTATAGGGTGATCCTCCCAACCTAATTTTTCACAATGTCAAGGTTTGAAACCTAGACGTTGCTTAAGGGATCCAACACTTCATCCTATTGGACCAACTAATAATTGATGATATATAATAATTAATAACAATGAATGAATATTATGCTAAAAAAAGTTATTTCATTTTAATAATAATTAATTAAAAATAATAATTATATGACACAAAATAAAGTAAGAAAACAGTTTGAAACGGAGATATAACTTGAAAATTGGAGAGCTGCTGAACTTTAAAATTAAAATATAATAAATTGCAATATCGGATTGATAAAAGTTCACATTCATATATAAATTTCCAAAGAAAGATAAATGTAAAAGTAGTTGATGTTATCCTTAAGAAAATGACAAGTTTAAGTAAGGCAATAATATTGTTGAAGAGGTTTCTACAAATAATATTATCACTTTTGAAATTAAAGCATCGATTAATTATACAAAATTTAATTTTCCCTCCCTTACTATGTTGATAATTTCATTAAAATTTTATATCTTCTTTAATATTTAATTACTATAACATGCTATCATTTTTTTTCCTGAAATTGAATAAAAAAACTGTGAACTTTGTTCTTATTAACAATTTTAATCAATTTTTTTAATAATTATATCTTGCAAATTTAATGTCAGCAAGTGACATATCATGTTGAGGGTCCCATTAACTCTCACTTAACATGGTAGTAGTGGTTAATGGACGGAGGCCATAATTGTTAAGACAAAAAATACTTCACAATTGTAGTAATTAAAAAAATTACCAAAATTATTAAAAAGGCCAAAGTTTTTTTTTTTAAGTCATAAGGCTTTTATTTTGTTTTGGCATCTTCGTTTTACAAAAATTGCTAGAGAGAAACCATTCCTCAAACAAAACCGTTGAACTTGGACCATCAATTTATCATATTTTTTTCCCCCTTAATTTCATAAAAATCAAACCAAAATTGGTTCGGAAAAAAAATAAAAGAAATAAAAGGAAGACCTCAGAAAACCAAAATATATAATAATATATATTTTAAAAAAAACCTGTACGCAACACAAATTAATCTTGGCCGTCAGATCTCATTGCTATGCAATAACGTCGCCTAGTCAAAAACAGCCAGCTAATCAAGTATTACTGCTAACGGCTATGATCTTCTGTTCTGAACTTCTGATCAACTTGAATTAGACAAGCTACGTACCTAAAAAAATCATTATTTCCTTTGTTGTGCTTTCTAACAATGGCGTTCTCTGGAACCGTCACTACACCACACCGCCCTTCTATTCTTCGCTTGCCCTGCCACTCGAAGACGACCTCCGTTTCATCTCACGATTCTGTCTCTTTTCGATTCTCAAGATCAAATCTCAGCCGTAAAATTTCTCTCTCCGTTCGATCAACTTCATCTCCAGGCATTTTTCACTCTTGTTATTTGGTCTTTGTCTAATTAATTGATTAGTCTTGCATAAGATTTTAAAGAAAGATTTTATTTAGTACAAATTTATTTATGTGATAATTGTTATTCGATTTTAGTTGCTCCAGCGACCGAGGGGATTGCTCCGGCGATTTCTTTGACGGAAAATGCATTGAAGCACCTGAATAAGATGAGGAATGACCGAAATGAAGATTTGTGCTTGAGAATTGGTGTTAAACAAGGAGGATGCTCAGGCATGTCTTACACCATGGAGTTTGAGAATAGAGCAAATGCGAGACCTGATGACTCTATTATTGAGTACAATGGTTTTGTGATTGGTAAGTATTCAAAATTCAATTCCTTTACTTTCATTGGAAAAATAAAACTATTGTTATGTTGTTTTAATTGTCGTACATAGGAGAAAGATGGAAAATGGAGTTTGGGAATGGATTGGTTGATATTTCTTCAGTTTGGGGAAATTTAAGAGTTGAGTAGGGTTATTATAGGATTATCTACTTCTTTACAGTGCTATAGCTTTTTCCTTTTTTTTTTTATTTTTTTTTTTTTTAATACCATTTCATTTGATAGCTAATCCAACACATCCTTTTAGAGGATTATTTACTTACTGCTGTACTTAGTTCTTACTCTACTTTCTGCTTTGCCACCAGCCTTGTGGGTGTCACTTTTGCTTGATCTTTCTATGTAGAAAGTTGAATCAAACTCTCTTTGATAATAATTTAGAAGTTAGCAAGTATTCTGCTGAGCATCCCAATTGACTTCCCTATACAAACTATGCAGCAAGGATAATTTTTAGACTACATCTAGACTGGAATGCATTTTTTGTCAATAAGATTTTTTGCTTCTTGTACCATAGGTGTGCGGTTTAAATTGCAAATTAGTACAGTTTCCATTTGGCCATTTCTTCTGCAACTGTTTTACATAGCTTAGAAACCAATTGCTAAGCTATCGCTAGCAGTTGTCTTCATTTCGAATTCCTATATCAAATGTAGTAGCAGGACTTGAACTGCTGTCGACTCCTGTTTTATACCTGTTGGACTTTTTGACTTTGAGAATTTAGTATCCCATTTTGCAAACTTTTTCTCTACTTCATCTACTCTATCTCCTAGTTACATGTTCCTTAGTACTTCTTTCTTCTTGATAATTATGTCAGTTATTTTATATACTTCTTTCTTCTCGATAATTATGTCAGTTATTTTATATACTTCTTTCTTCTCGATAATTATGTCAGTTATTTTATATACTATACTCTTTCTTCTCGATTAATAATTATGTCAGTTATTTTATATACTTCTTTCTTCTCGATAATTATGTCAGTTATTTTATATACTTCTTTCTTCTCGATAATTATGTCAGTTATTTTATATACTTCTTTCTTCTCGATAATTATGTCAGTTATTTTATATACTTCTTTCTTCTCGATAATTATGTCAGTTATTTTATATACTTCTTTCTTCTCGATAATTATGTCAGTTATTTTATATTGCTACTCTTATTCAGCTTTCTAACTTAAAATACCTATTCCAGCCTGCTTTGTTAGTCATTTAGACTTTGCTAATTGCATAATAACTTCTCCAACTTTTTCTTTTTCTTTTTCTTTTTCTTTTTTATTTTTTTTGATAAGGAAAGAAAAAAGATGGTAGAGGTTAAATGCCTAACATTTGGTATCGAGCTTAATCCTAAACTAGCATAACCTTTATTTCCTAGGTTCTACTATTGCATCTGCAATAAACTTCAATATAAGGGAATTTGCATTCTCTTCTTTTGATTATTTTGTAACAGTTCATTGTTTTTTAACGGGCTATATTAATTCTTAGGTTGGAGGACTAAACACCATTTTCATAGTTTGCAATGGATCTTATGGACAAGATAAAACAAATTTATATTCCAACATAACTACCGCATAATGTCACATGTTTCAGATTTATCATGATCTTAACCTCTCCTTGCTCTCCTGCCTTCTATTTGAAGATTTAAATTAAATGTTCAAACTAAGATAAATTATGTTTTAGTGTCATTTGAATATTACAAGTCTAAATGACATTAAGGCATAATTTGTCTTGGTTTGAGCATTTAATTTAAATTTAAAATTGAAGGCCAGAGTGCAAGGAAATGTTTGAGTGTTTGAGATAATAAGGTCAAACCATATCCAACAAGCATGATAAATTTGGACCATTAGATATTATGCGTGTTAGGATTCTTTATCTGTAATTCAAATGCTTTGAGATATTCTTGATACTATATATTATGGTTGAGAAATTCTCTCCATTTAGTTTAGATTATAGACTTAGTCTTTTGATATATTCTTTGTTAGGATATTGTATTTTATGGTTGAGATATTCTCCCCATTTAGTTTAGATCATAAGTCTTGTAACTCTATAAATACCACCTTCAGGTGGCATTACAACTCAAGCAATACAAATATTCTTCACTCTCATTCTATTGCTTGTACGATGCGGTAGTTATGTTGGAATCTAAATCTGTTTGTCTTTCCATCAGAAAGCATTGTTAAATTGGGAAATATGATGTTAGTCCTGCTACCTAAGAATTGATATAGTCCGCAAGAATGCAATTTTGATGATATTGAAGCTTGATGCAATAGCATATATAAGAAAACAGAGGTTATGCTAATTTAGGATTAAGCTCAACATCAAATGTCAGGGATTTGACTTCTTTAATCTCTTATTTTTTTCTTTAAAAAAAAGGTTAGATAAGTTATTATACTATTAATAGAATCTAAATGATGAACAAAGAGAGCTGAAATAGGCATTTTAAGTTCATAAACTGGATAATGGTAGCAATATACAGCATATTGATATAATTATCAAGAAGAAAGAACTATTAAGGAACATTTAACTAGGAGAAGGGTAGATGAAGAAGAGAAAAAGTCAAGAGTTTTCTGGGAATCACTGACTAGGTGGTGAGAAATCACAGATGAGATTGGATGCATATTGCATCCATGTTTTCTCACAAAGTAGGTAAGGTATTTTGCCTCCCTAACCACTTCTTTTCACCTTAAAAAGAATTTATAACCCATTTAACAGAGCAAGTTCGGATTTGGGGAGCTGAGGTGCACCTGAAGGTGCTTTCAGGTGCTGCCTGGCCAGCTTAGGTGCCAGCTTAGGTAATTGATTGTGCTGTTGTATTCAATAGTGACATGCTATTAAGAGTCAGTTGTCTCGAACTTAGTCGGAGCTCCAAAGCTTGGTAATCCAAATTGGAAAAATAATGGATAGAAACACCCATGGGGAAAACTATGACCTACAAAATTTAATCAATCGAGGTCTCAAATGGTTATTGCATCAAGTTTCATGGTGGAACGTAATTTTTTTGACTTGTGAATACTTGTAAGGTCTTCTAGCTGCTCAATCAAAGTTCTATCGTAGGATCCTTTGGCTGATCATCTACATGGGGCCTTCCAGAGAATAGATAGGGATTCAGCTTTGAGAGGCTCTCATTGAAGACATTCATATAATCATAGAAAATAATGAACCTGAAAGTATTGGAGGTGACTGGATTCTTCAATTATTTTCTCAAAGGAACCGAAAATAAGATGTAGCTAGATATTGCATCAGATGTTTAAACCTTCTCTACTCTGCCTAATGCCCATCTAGGTTCTCTGTTGTTATGTAAGGAGTTCAATAGGCAGAGTCAAGCTTCTATGTTGTTGGGGTGGTGAGGATGAGATTCCGAGTAAGAAGGTGCAACTTGTGCTTTTTGTGGATTCTCTATGGCAAAAGGATAGATTACAGACACTAGAGGTGCCTAGATGAGGTGTGCTACCAGAGAAACCTACTCAAGGAACTTCCAATTTCTTTTTTTTTTTTTTTTTTTTTTTTTTTTTTGTGTTGCTACAGAGGAAAACCTACTCAAGGAACTTCCAATTCTTTTTTTTTTTTTTTTTTTTTTTTTGGGAGAAAAACCTACTTCAGCGGGAAACTTTCTTAATGTTTGCCGTAGAACCATTTTTTTTTTTTTTTTTTTTTTTTTTTTTTTGGGAGAAACCTACTCAGGGAACTTCTTATGTTTGGTGAACCATAAACAATAAAAAATGAGGTGAATGAAGTGGTGAAGTGGGTGGTAAGGAATAACAAACTGATGAGATTTTCTTGGATCATTAGATTACTGATAAACCACAGCATGCATTGGTCTCAATTGATAAAGCAAAACTTAAAGCCAAAATAGCAGATCTATGAGGATAAAATAGCCTGTGGAAGTGGGAAGAATTTTTGCATGGATGAATTGATCCAAAGAATGGTAAAATCAGATATTCTTGTAAATGATATGTTTAGTTGGCGGTTGGTCTTGGAGCATTCTAGTTGCAAATACTTGCTTTGTGGTAGTGTCATCTTCTCATCCAAAGGATAAGATCAGAACTTGCATGTTTGATCAATAAAAAGAGCTGAACCACTTTAATGTTATGATGTTGCTAGATTTGATATCACAATTATCAGATATAGTTGCGTGCTATGGAGTACAAATCATTGCCAACAATTTTATGTTGTGATTTTTATCAGCAGCTGTACGTGTGAATTTAAATGATTGAGGGCATCACAAACAAATCACGATTAAAATGAATTCTTCCAACTTAAACAAGCACATAACATCCGAAAGTGCTGGAGTTATTTGAAACATAGCTGGATTTCATGAAGAAGATTAACTGAAACGCTTATATGATGATGTGAAGCCTCCATGGGTTGAAGAAACTCAAAGCAACCTATTATTAGTTCCCAGGAACCATGATCTGAAAACTGAAGCTACATGCGAAACTTTTATGTGTTTATTTTGGGTTGAGGAATATGATCGGTTCTCATGATAAGATATTATTTTGTACTTTACCGAAGATTATTTACAGTTGTTCATTTTCATATCCATAGAGTATTTACAAATTACTGTTAGCTAATTTACTTGATGTTTGTTTTTGCAGTCTGTGACCCAAAGAGCCTTCTCTTCCTATTTGGGATGCAATTGGATTATAGTGATGCTCTAATTGGGGGAGGTTTCTCTTTTAAGAACCCAAATGCTACACAAACGTGTGGTTGTGGTAAATCATTTGCAGCAGAGATGTGAAATAATGCATACAGAACTATTGCAATGGGTAGAATATATTTTAACAGAAACCTTTATATTTGTTTGTAAAAATTCTGGTTGAAGATTTATCAGCTAATACACAAAGATTTACATGCCTAGTTTGTTAAGATAGATTTCATATTTCCAACAGTTCTGGGATTCATCGAAGAACTATTTATCTGTTCATCTCAAATAACAATCAACTAAAAAATTATCATCAACAAAAGTTTATTATCATTAGAGTTTATTTTATTATTAAGAAAAATGGCAGTTTTTATAGGCCTAATGACAAAAAAAAGTTTGAACTTTGACATTTTTATCAATTCTAGTCAGATCTTTTAATTTTATCAATTAATATGGTATTTTTAGTTTTCTGCATCAATTCTTGGCATATTTAGTTTTCTGTATTAATTTTAGTCTCTATTTGTCTTCATTCAATTTTATGTTAATATGACAGTTCTCTCACAAGTGGATTTTACGACCTTATAATATCTTATGTCAACATCAAATCATATATTCAGGTATAATAACAAAAAAAGAAAAAAAGAAAGTTTGAATTTTAATGTTTTTATTTAGCCTAGCCAGTTGTTTTTTTTTTTAATTTTGTTAATTAATATTGCATACTAATTAATCTCTATAAAATGATTTTGTTATATTGATATTTATTCAATTTTTTTTGAAGCTTTATTGATATTCATTCAATTAAATAGTTCTTTATATTAAGTGCATAATGAGATTAATAAATTAGAATTCAATTTTACTGAAAAGTCTTTTAAAAATATTATTTTTAAATATACTAATTAATATATTTGCTCTCTTAATAATCAAAGGTAAAGGGTAACTTAAAAGTGATCATAATCTTGATTGGTATAACCAGTAAAATAATGACTTTCTAAAAATTTTTTGATTTTATCCTGTAAATGGTACCGATCAATATAGAAAAATAAATTGTGAGAAGTTAAATTCTAAATTGATTAGCATATTTAAAAATAACATTTTTAAAAGGCTCTTCAGTAAAATTGAATTCTAATTGATTAATCTCATTATACACTTAATATATATAGTTAATTAATAAATTATTTAATTGAATAAATATCAATATAACAAAATTATTTGATAGGGATTAATTTAATACGCGTTATTGATTAATAAAATTAAAAGAAGTTAATTAATAAGTTATTTAATTGAATAAATATCAATATAACAAAATTATTTGATAGGGATTAATTTAATACGCGTTATTGATTAATAAAATTAAAAGAACGGGCCATATTTAATAAAAACATTAAAGTTTATACATTTTTTTTAATATATATGGATGTATGACTTGGCGCTGACATTGACATTATAAGGTTCACTTATTAGAGATAACTGCCACATCAACATGAAATTGAGGGAAGACAAATAAAAGTTAGAATTGATACAAAAAACTAAAGACGTAATATTGATCGATAAATTTTAAAAAATTGGCTAGAATTGATAAAAATGTCAAAGTTCAGGTTTTTTTTTATCATTAGACATTTTTTATAACTCAATTTTCATAATATTTGGCACAAACTTTTGACCAAGTCAAATTAAACCACTAATATCATTTTAATTTAAACAGCTAATAAAAATACCTAATTTATCTATTCTAATTTAAACTTCACTACAACTATTAATATTATCAAACAATTAAAATTGCGGAACAAATCTAAATTTGAATTTCAACTGTATTATATTTCATTACTGTTTAAATGATATTGCGATCTGTAAATTTTGTAAATGTTTGTCAATTTGTAGGTATCAGAAATCCTTGCTAGCAGCTTGAAAAAACATACTAAATAAACAAAATGCCAGTTAGAAAATTTCATATATGAAAAAATGTGGATTTTTTTTTTATTAGAAAATTTTTAAAGGGAAAGGAAGGTGTTGTTAAAGTTTAATTTTTAATCTATTACTATGTTAATTTCTTTGCATATAAGGTGGTTCATATGCAAAAAAATTTTACCTTGTCAAATAATTTATAAAATAAGTTATTAATTAATTTTCCTTTTCCATATGACGATTAAATTAAAATAATATATAATTTTATTGTATAATTGCGATATTCTTTTCAAAATAAAAGTAAAAATAAAAATACTTGTCATTGTTTTCAAGTAAAAAAAATTTAAATGGGAGTTACATGTATCCATTTACATTTGTTGAAAAAGTCACAACGTAGGATCGGAATCTACTCTATGAGATCAAACGGTTCAAAATAAAGAAGGCATAGTCCTCTAAAACACACCCAATCTATACACTGACATAGAGAGATTAACATCTCAAAACCGAAGACTCAACCCTAGCGACAATTATAAGATCAAAGAAGAAGGAACAAACCTACTAGGCTTCTTCGATAATGGCGTTCCCTTCTCGTCTCTTATCCAGATCCAAGCAGGTATTCCTCACTATTCCATCCCTAGAATATCTTTATTCGAGTTGTATTTCATTAAAATTGAAAGTTCATTTCCTTTATTTTTATTCGCCGTTTTCGATTTCTTTATCCTCCGTTTGGTTTTCCAGAAAATTAGTTGATTCCAGGGGAAAATGAGAGGAAGCGAGAGAAATGTCGAATTTGGGTCAAAGTAAAAATTAAAATTTGTTGTTATTGGATTAGGAACGAAATGAATCTGATAATTGGTATATCTGTAGTTTGATCGCCATATTTATAATATCTTTTCCAATGGTATTTTGCAGCTCTATGGCAGTCAAGTCATTCTACAACAGGATCACGCTATTCCTGTCCGTTACTTTGCCAAAAAAGCTGATCCTCCAAGTCAAAAAGGAGATAGTCCTCCAAGGCTTAAGGGAGATGGTTAGTAGATTTTTGTATGCTTATTAATGGGGCTTTTGTCATAATAAATCCTTTGATGGAATTTGGTAGCTTTTGCACATATTACATTTACCTAAAGCACAAAGTGCCAAAGGGGAGAGAAGTTCTCCAATGACGCTTGCATAAGAATAGTGATTAATGTTTTAGGACTTAGTTAGTAGTTATTTGCCTTTTGGGTTTTGGCGCATTTCCTAAAGCCATTTGAATTGCATTTCCTATTATGATTCAATAATTTTGCTAGGAATGTGAAATATGCTCTTATTGACCTCAGGGCCATGTTATAAAACTTGATGTGAAGTTTCATAGCTTCCGATTACCTATAGTTCTCATTCGTCCATTGATGAATCAAGAAATCAAATGGTCTATATTACATTTGCACTTGCAAAATTGTAGAGGCTATTTCTGTTGAGCTAAAAATTAAGTAATCGCTGCATTGTTTGTTTATATTTATCTGACCTTTCCTAACGTATTTAGTGAAGTTATTCATAACCCAGGTGTATATCTTCAATTAGCCTATAATATTCATGATATTTGAAAACATATAGTTTAGCCTAGATGTACACTTACACTTTACATTCATTCCCAGGTGGTATGAGACTGTTGCACAATACTTTACAAGCTTGCTCAAATGCCAAGCATGTGTAAAATGTGAACTTATGAAAACTCTTAGAACTTAAACATTCGGCAAATATTCAAATCTATTTCTTTCTTTGCTATGCATTTGTGAGCTTGCTTATGGAAAACATAGCTATTGAGGAGAATATGTTTTTTATTTATTTATTTTTGGTTCTGTAAAGCTGCCAATTAATAGAACCTTACTATCGATATGTTGAAAGATTTGTTATGTTAGTCCATATGCTAATAAGTATACTTTTATTATTTAGTGAAAAGTTAGATGTGATCATTATTCTGCTTAGATCTGTGATTACCATTATATCTTGAATTCTTAGATGCATTTTTTTTTTCCAATAAAAGTGTGCCTTGATGATTTGATAATTTACCGATGAATTTTTTGTTTGAGGTGAAAAGAGTTGTTAAAGGGCATATTTCTGGAAGTCAAGAAGAAATATGAGACAGCTGTTGGAATACTTAAGAAGGAGAAGATCACCATTGCTCCCGAGGATCCTTCAGCTGTTTCTCAATATGCGAAGATCATGAAGACAATTAGAGAGAAGTAAACTAATCTTCCCCTTAATTTCTTCCTTTCATCTCTATTTCATTCACTATAAAGGAACAAATTAAGTTTAATATTGAAAATTTCATGTTAATTAGTGTTGTGTTTTAGCTCTAAGTAAGCGGACGTTCACTTATAATCTCTTTTATTTCTCCAGATCTACGCATATAAAATTGTAGTTTTTAATAAATAGTAGAGATTTACTGGCAGTGTTATCTTCTCCGACCTAGATGTAGATAATTTATTTTTGCCAATTAGGAGTAGCTTGGCGGGTTTCCCCATTTCTGAGGAGTAGGGGGCTCTCGAGTCCCCTCATGCACAAAATATTAGCGGAATGAGCTACCCCCCTATCCACCACATTAGGAAAGAGGTATGGGCTACACCTATTATGTATCCCAGGTTGGTTCTCCTGGTAAACCAGAAAAGGATACTATTTCCCAATGCTTAGCGTTCCTTTGTCCTTTTATTTTGTTCTATCTTTGCCTTTGGTCAAACTTGAATCACTTCTCCATATGCACATGTAATCTGTGTCTTAAGTTGAGTGGAATAGTATGAATTGGCAATTGCCTATATTTTAGTGGCTTAAGAAAATGATGAATATGTTGGTCACATGTATTTCCTGCAGGGCTGGTTTGTTCTCTGAGTCTGAAAGAATTAAATTCACTATTGAGACACAAACCGTCGATATTCCAGATGCTCGGACATATTTGTTGACATTGAAGGAAATTCGAATCAAGTATGTCCTTTTTCAATTTGTTCGGTTTCCTGTTTCGATTTTATTTACGCTCCAAATGTAGTTTCATTTTCATCTTTATATGTACTGTGGATGCTTTAGGATTTAGTTAACAATTAAATGTTATAATGTTTCCTATGTCATGTTAATGAAGGCAAAATATGTTCTCCTTGATGGTCCATCTTATCTGTATTTGGTATTGTTTGTCTTGTGGTTCTGATAGATTGTTGAAGTAAAGTGTGTAAAATTACGTTCTCCAGCATCAAATTTTGAATTCCCATTTGTCCCATTTTTTTTGTGGATGTTTCCTCTGTATAGGAGAGGTCTCATTGATGAACTTGGTGCTGAAGCCATGATGATGGATGCTTTGGAGAAAGTTGAAAAGGAAATCAAGAAACCTCTAATGAGGAATGATAAGAAAGGAATGGCTCTTCTATTGACAGAATTTGATAACATTAACAAAAAGTAAGCCCCATTCAACAATATTATTTGTGTCATTTGTGTTGCTATGTTCTAATATATCATGCTTGTTCGGAACCCTGTGAAATTGCTTTATCTTTCCTGTAAGACTTACCAGTGACCTAGTTGCTGGGACAGATTTTATGAGACTTAAAATTGTATGACCGTTTCCTAGTGAAAGGATGGGAGGACTCATTATGCATATCACCAAATACTGAATTGTGTATGGTAAGTGGAGGTGGTGAATGCTAGCTCAGAAAGTTGTTATCAGTCATACTGAACTTTTTTAACTCTGTTGCCTGATTTCATGATAGTGAATGTGTCCGTTTTCCAGTTTTATTCAGAGCTGTGATATTGCCTGCAAATATTTTTTTTCTTTTAAGGCCTACTTTAATTGGCTCTTTTTAATTTTTTTTTTTTTGGTCATTTTACCAGGCTTGGAATTCGGAAGGAAGATCTTCCCAAGTATGAAGAAGAGCTAGAAAACAAAATTGCCAAAGCACAATTAGAGGAGCTGAAAAAGGATGCTCTTGAAGCCATGGAAACCCAAAAGAAGAGGTATGCTATTGATTCCTTACTCTTCCTTTGCTATTATCAACCTGTTAATTTTCTAGGCATATGGGGATTAAACTGTATTTAGGTTCTATATCAGTATATTCCTGGAAAGTAGCATTCCTGACGGAGCTTTATGAAGATCATTTATGTCGGGATAATGTGGGTTGAGTTGATTTCCTCTGCTCTTTGTTTCAGGGAAGAATTCAAGGATGAGGAGGTTCCGGATGTGAAATCTTTGGACATCAGAAACTTCATCTGAGATAGTGAAATGCTTGTTCATGAGTTTGTTTTGATGTTAAACAAATTATTCCGAACCGACACAAAGGGGACCACTGCCTGCTTAGGATGTGGGGATTATTACCTCATCTGTTTTGCTTCTTGATAATAAAAAAAGGACCTTTGCAGTACAACTGCGGCAGCTGAGTAGATATCGTTGCTGTTTTCTGTATTCCATGTTATTGCCAGGAAGAGCTGGAAATATGTTGTCGCTGCTTTTGCTGTAAAATGATATTTCATTTCAGGAAGTTCTCCCTGAAAACATTTCTTTTCCAGGACCTGTTGGTTTCCCAATTTCTAATACATAACCAAACTAGCGTTTTTGTGGCCCTTTTCCCGTTAGATATTTCCTTGCATTAATAGTCTTTCTTGGAACTGTGATCCTACTGATAGTACAAATGAATGGCCGGGTTGTGCTAAGAGAATATAATTGATAAAATTTTGTTAAATCAAAATTAGCAAGTTCATTATCATTTTTTAATTTGATTTTATTTGCATTGAATTGCGGGTAAATTTCATAATTATTATATCGTTTAATGAATTAATTTTGAATTTTAAGATCGAGTTTGATATCTTGAAAATTAGTAAAATAAAATTATTAAACAAATTAAGAAAATTGTTTTTAGTTAATCAAAATAATTCAATCGCAGGACCTATATATTTTCCAAATAACAATTATATTAATAAAAAAATTAAAATACAACTATTAATTTAGTAATTAGAGTCTAAATAATTTAAAGTTTTTAAGCTGAGCTGGAAAACTTTAAGTGAAAAAAGCCAAGTATACAACAGTAACACCGTAGACCAAAGACCCAAAAAAAGTCACCAGGTCCTATTGTTAAGAATAGTGAATTACTATTTTCATTAACGTTTAACTAGCCGGGCAACCGTATGCTTCAACCTACATTGGTGGCTGCACTATTCGTTGAAGCATATGAAGTTTTACCGAAAGCGGATTATAACCATTGATCAAATATGAGTTCGATCAATATTTGTTTCTCTGGAATACCGAAAGCAAGCATATCCGCTGATCAATCTGGGTGATCCCAATTAGGCTTATTAATCACTAATTAATTATAGTTAAAAACACAAACTAGACAACTCTATTGATCAATAAAAAAAATAGGAACAAAATTTTCCAATCACAAGCATGTGGGTGTACCTTATATACATTAACAACAATAAACTTAGTTCTACCAAAATGAGGGCTTAGCCTCTTGTTCCAAAATTCTGCACTAACTATCCTGGTAAATATTTCGCCTGATGGTAAAACAAAATGATTAAATTAGCAGCTATCTAACTTCCCTATAACAGTCATTTCCTTCACTACCTTATAAGACCTTGAAGAATGATTAGCATTCTTATAAACACCATGCTCGATAATTAAGATTTACTCTTCTTATTTGATTTAGGGCTGTGGTCTCCTTTTCGCCTTTTCCCTTTCTTATGACTTTCCTGTTTACCATGTTTTTCCACTTTAGTTTTACTAGATTTTACACTAATAAGACCGCTTGAGGATATTTTTCCACCACCACTTTTCAATGCATTCTCGAAATCACCGTCTCTGTCCACAATGGCATACTGTTGGAGAAGCTCAGGATTTAGTGCCTCCGTTTTGGTTTTCATCTCATCCTACAATCAGTTCAGCACTCTCACTCACAGGACAAAAGGAGAGAGACAGATCAAAGAAAGAAAAAGACAGTTAAAAGACATGGAACATACCTCAACTTGCTTCGCTGCTTCATTTAGATCATCCTCCACAGAGATTTTAAGAGGTTCCAGCACTCTCTGTATATAGCAACATTTATGGTGTTAATTTAAATATTCAAGAAAATGGAAATAGAACATAATTCTTTTCAGAAAAAAGTGGAAGATTGCAGATGGAAAAAAGATAATCCTGTTAACGCATGTAAGTTGTCCTCAATCAGAATATATATTTTTGGTTTATGTTTTTCTAGACTAGAAGTTCACATCTCGGGAAACAGCTTGATGAAGCAAAGGGAATATTGTTTTCCTTTATTTTGGAAAAAAATATTCTTGTATTCCCAAACTCCAAAAAAAAAAAAAAAAAAAAAATGAGGCTAAAGAAATAACAATCAATAATTTGTGCCAGGGCGCAAATATCGGACAGCTGGATCCCTCAATGAATATAGGACTATTAACTAGTTGAATCAACAACGGAGAACACATTCACTTTTAAATCTATGAAATCAAAGTGCATAAACAAAACGAGACAGATATATTTTTTAGAAACAAACAAAGTTCCACGTATAAATTGCTGATAACAAAACTTTTTCTATTAACTGAGCATAGACAATATCACCAACCATTTCCACTTACACATGAGCAAACATTCACAAATTGTGGTCAACAATCACTAAGCCTTATGGTGGGGTGATATGCATAATGAGTCCTTCCATCCTTTCACTAGGGGAAACGCTTCATTACAATTTTAGATACGTCCTTCTAAATTAACAATCTGTATTACCAGCAACTAGGTCCACTGGTAAGTACAAACAATAAACTTTTAGTTCTTTTCTAACAACCAACAGGAGGAAAATGAGAATAAAGCGAATTTGCGAACAGGCTTAGCCTTGCTTTGGTGTTTCCAAAAATTCCCGGAAACAAGCATAGTCGAATCATAATCATTAGGAAACCATGAGCCACTCAGCAAATGACAGCATAAATAAAATATTTTATTTTTTGGGATATGGGGCATTAACTTTTTGTTAATGTTAATCAAATTGGTTCTATGGTCAATAGAAGAGCCATTCTTATAATAGTTCTTAATCATTTCCCTCAATTAGAGGTTTCTTGATTTCACTGTTCAATATACTTTCTCCAAAATTTTAAGACGAGCGATCCACTCATCATTTACGTATACTCTAAAAGCACCAACATGTCCCTTCATCAAATTAGAACCTCTCCAGTTCATTATATCCAGACGTGTCAACATCCACAAAACAAATAAACACATTATGTGGTACAAAAATGGAGACCCAATTCAAAATTTTGATGCTGTGAGATTATGCGTAATTTTACACAACTTTACTCAACAATCTAATAAGAAACCACACACTATAGGACAAAACACATAAGTCAACTCATTTCTAATACTAGAATTAGAAAGGACACCATATGGGACCCTCATCAGAGGAAGAATACAATTTATTTTAAGGACCCTTCTTTACTTCATTTACTTAATTTCGCAGTTTATTAGGGACGATAGCGGGAAATCATGTTTTAGTAACAATGTTTCTTACATCTGGTTAACTAATTCGCCCTATAGCATTCCTCACCCCAGTACATTATTCATTATATAGGATAGAACTTTACACTTGGTAAACTTATACACTCTCATTGGTTTTAGCTCTGCCATTTAAATTTATAAAAGTCGATATTACAGTGTGTGAAACTATAGGATTTACACTTTAATACACGAAGCAAAATTGACACGGCAAAAGAGACATTTTTTACTTGGAATTCGAATAATTTTTCTCTTTTTCAATGTCAACCAGAATACTCGTACCACCACCGAGCAATATACTAGAATACATTTCGTTACCGGCCTTTGCGGCTCTCACAATAGTGAATTTAATTCTTTTACAGTAGCCTCACGAGAAAATTAAACCAGCCCTCGACAAAGGAAATAACATGTCACACCAACATGATCTTCCATCATCTTTCACTTAGCCACTAAAAATATAGGACTGAGACTTAGCTCTCAAATTCTCGATTACGGATGGATTAGCGCCATCTCAACAAAGACTATACTAGTTAACATTTGTGTATGGAAGGATGCCGTTATCTCCAGTATGTTTGACCAATATATGGTCGAGATATTGATTTACGAATCTACATACAATAATACAAAGCGATCAAACAATCAGAGGGAACGCTAAGCATTGGGAAAATATGTGCTATACGCTATCTCTTCTGTGCACTCACAGGACAAAAGGGAGAGAGACAGATCAAGAAAGAAATATATGAACAAGCGGAGGATGAATCACAAAGGCACTCAGGTGGAACATACGATTACTCAACCATTAATTATGGGTTTGTCTCGTGAGGCCCATTGACCTCCCATTTCCTCTAATTGTGGTGGGATAGATCATCCGTCCCAGGCGATGAAGATTTTTTTAGCTATACATTCGCGAGCTAAATATTGGTTGTCTGCCAATGACGGGGACTCGAAACGACATCGCCCGCCTATCCTACAGAAATGGTGGGAAAAACCCTGACCAATAGGCTCACTCCTAACAATTGTGCATAAAAATAATAAATTATCTTAACAGTCTAGGTCGGAGGAAGATTTGAATCTAACTTGCTTCTTAGATAAATAATTATTACAATGTGCGATAACTAATGGGATTATTTATAAAAAACTTACAATTTTATATTACGAGTCAGTATATACTTCTGCGTATACAGAGTGGAGAAAAGAATTTATAAAGTGAAGAATCGGGTCCGCTTAAGTATTGCAAGAGCACACTGGTAAAAAACACAAAAGACTCTAACATTACCTGAGTTATAACACGTCTTAAATAGGATTTCACAATAGTGTAATACTGTCAACTTTTGTCCCTCTATAATCAAGATGAGAATGATAATTAATGAGATGTTATAGGGATAGATGGAGGAATTAATAGTGGAGTTGAAGATAGTTTTTATCTTCCTCTTCATGACATTATTCTTATCGTTCACAATATTCCTGCTCGCATATTGAGAAAGCAGGAGAACTGAAAGCAGGCATCTCTTTTCGAATTGAAGCCAAACGGGGGGAATGACTCTAAGTTTGCTGACTCTTTTCTCCTTACTTTTTGAGAGAGAATATCCAAAACACAGCAATGTTCTACTATTCATTTCTTCCTTGACTTTCCAGAAATATGCCCAATTTTTACCACAACTCCATCTTTCTCTCCACATCAAACAAAAAAAATTTACAAAATACAGAAAAAAATAAAATTTATCAAATCTTATCCATATATATAAGAGCGACATTAGACATTTTTTGAACGGAACATAATACATAACAAATGCATCTAAGTAGATTACTAAAGACAAAAACAAATATAAATCCGGATAATCACCGAGATCCCTCAAGAGTTACAAGACGAATACAGAGATGATTCACATCTAACTTCCTTCACTTTAAAAAAATTACATTAAAACGGTGTTCTATACTATAATTAGCATAATGGACTTAACTATACAACCAATAATCATTCTTTGTTCAATTGGTGTCCCACTTCGGGTCCAACTTATTAGCAGAGAATAACTTAAAATAGGTAAGCCTCACTTATAAATTAATTCGGTGACAGCTTTAGCAAGTAGACGCCAACCCAAGAACAAAAAGCAATTATAATAGCAAAAAAAAAAAAAAAAAAAAAAATCTTTTAATAGTAGATTTCACTTCTACATTTGATAAACAAAAACAAAAACCAACCGCCATACGAAACAGGCCCTAAAATTCTCGTGTCAATATATTCACATGCATCTTGATGGTGTCCACTCGGTCATAGAAACTAATAAAGCCATTAATCTGATATGGCACCCAGACAAGCTTTGCTCCTTTTGTTGCTTGTAAAAGGACCTATCACCTTATGTATCTCTAAAGGTTCATCCTGACATATGAGGCATGCATTTCTCTGAGCTTACCTCTTTTAATTGGGTCAACCACCATACCGAACAGGCCCTAAAATTCTCATCTCAATCTTTCACATGAATCTTGATGGTGTCCACTCAGTCATAGAAACTAATGAAGCTATTATATGTTATGGCACTCGGACAAGCTACAGCTCCTTTTATTGCTGACAAAAGGACATATCACCTTATGTATCTCTAAAGGTTCATTCTGACATGAGGTATGAATTTATCTGAGCTTACCTCTTTTAATTGGGGTAGGGTTGATTGGATTTCATCAGATGCAATACCATAAAGATATTTATGGAACCTTCTCATGGCCTTCATAAAAAGTGACAAAATCTGTGTCCTTTCCAACTTCAATTGTCCCTGCAACAACAATTCAGCAGGAAACTCAAATCTCCAAATGCCCAAGTAGAAAACAAAATAAAGCTCAAGTGTATGCATGAGCAAGTCATGCATGTGTATATTATGTAGTTGACTAATTATCTAATTAGTTCAGAATCAAACCTCAATATAAGTGAAGTCTTGCTTCTGCAAGCCAATGCAGAGTAAAATGGAAGCCTGGACATATGACAATGTAACAGGAAGCTTCCCTCTAAAATATAGGCGAGCAAGGACTGAAACAGAGTCTAATATCTGGAGAAAGAGTAGCAAGAAAAACACATACATCCAACTCACAATTAGAAATTATGATGATAGAGTCATTACGAAATCATTGGATAATGAAGTCCTTATGAAATCTTTGCATAATGAAGTGCTTACGGGACCTTCAGGCATAATAAAATCAAATCAAGTGATAATTTTATTGCCAATAAAAGCCAATTAGTTTCTTGGAGCAGAGATGTTTTACACCATTCAAATGATGACATTATTGAGCGTCAGATGTGAATGACTTACAGGATTATTCAGTTCTTCCAACGGTCATACCAAATAATTATCAGCTTCACCAACAGCAGTAAAAGAATATGAAGAATTGAAAATATATCTCTCAAAAATCTCCCAGTATAGAATCAGATGCCATATTCCTAGTTTCATTTCTTCCAGATGTGTACAAATAAAATAATTTAACCATAATAGTCCGTGGTATATTAGATTTGACTTGGCAAAATCCAGACTCCATAACAGAAATAAAAATTTAAAATTTCCATTTATTGCACCATGCAAAGACACATGCCCTTACGCATATGATTGCAATAGAAATTTTATTAGAGCTTGAAACTTGTGACAAAACATCATTTGTTTGTCAAAATGCACAATGAAACAGTTTGCATTATCTTTATCTTCCACATATAAACCCCACACACACAAAAAAAAAACAGGAAAGCCTTATGCCTTAATGCTCCATTTAGTGAGCCTTAATAGAATGTAAACAAATGCATTTCTAGTGTAAACAAGTTCAATGATCCTAGAATGACATGTAAGAATATTATTCCCAAGATTCATATGGAAACCGAATAAGGTTTAGGCTTCAAGGCATTGTCATCAGATCTCAGTTACATTTATAGGCACTTATTTCTTCAACAACAAATTATGGAGAATGCATGGAGTAATCATATCACTATATTACCAAGCGATAATCAGCAAGATTATCAGTATAAGCTTTCAGTCGCTGCATATCATCTGCTGTAATTTCAAAGCTAAGTGACTTCCAAAATCCTTCTGGAGTGGATGAAGTAGCTTTAGTATCCGTATCTGCATAGTTGATCTTAGGAGCCAGTACACTAAAAGATTTTAAAGAATCAAAGTAAGCTATTGAACATAAGTAGCAATGAGCTGGATTAAAGAAAATGTAAAATTTAAATTCCAACCTCATAGCAAGCTTATATTCCATTGCTCGGAAACAAGATTCCAGTAATCTAGAAAACCTTAGCCTGAAAGCTGAAGAAGTTGAGAAATCAAGCTAAGATACAGGGTATTAGAGAGAATGTCAGCGGAAGGGGCCAGAAGCGGATGAATTGGAATATAGGACTTACCTTGGTAAAATGGACCAAAAAAGCCCCATTCATCTGATCCACTGACTTCAAAATCATCATTGTTTAATGGTTTCAGGACCATACAAGTGTGCTCACCAGTTACTGTACTCTAAAATAACCAAAAAATAAAAATAAATAAATACACGCCAGTTTGTCAATGCATAAATTATACTATTATATTCATCTATGAAAGAGAGAAATAAAGAGGATAAAAAAAAAAAAAAGAGAGTTGCATTTTAACTGGAATTTGGCCAATGTAGAATGGAGCAAATTTATGTTTCCCCCAAAAGCGAAAAAGGTCTAAAGTAAGCCCAAAAGAAACACCAAGATAGTGAAGTTTTTCAGGTCGTCTTTCACGAAGAGTAACTAGCAAATGTGGAAGGTCCGTCCTTGGTTTTATATTTTCTTCTAGCAATGAAACCTGCAATTACAGTATGGTAGAAACACATGACTCCATAAAACATAGAAATTAAAGAAAATGCACGATCGCTAATGTGGGAACAAAATAAATAAATGGGAGTTCTGTGAAAGAACCTTCTCTGCAGCTTCCATAATTCTAACTTGGGGAGTCTCCACATTGTTTTCAAAATCTACTTCAGAAATGGGAGTGAACTGTCCTTCATAGTACCTATGGGTGGCAAAATTATGAGTGCGTCTTTAAATACTTGAACAAGTGTTGCAGCATGATCAAAGCAAAATTACTAAATATAGCATTTTCTTCCCTATATACTATATAGCTTTGTCACAGTTTGCATTTTATGTACACATTTTGGATGTCTCATCACAGAAATAACAGATGAACATCAAATCTTCAAATTGATGAAACCATTTAATTCATGAGCTTAGGGCTAGAACAGTATTAGTTATTTTGATGCCCTCGATTTTCTCAAGGAATAAAAAGCGAGAAAAAATATATGAATTTCACTATTGAGTCATCGGTTACTTTCTGTTCTTTCTGTGGATCTAAGTAAATGTTGACTCATTCTCTGCTAATTATTAAATAAAAGAAAATTGTTATTCTGTCAAATTTAGCATCAGTTTCATACATCATCAATCAAGGATGCCTCCTGTTTACAAAGCAGAAATTCAGTTTTACTCTGTCAGTTGGAATATCTTTTCAAGAACGGAAAAATGCTCGTGTGGCACGGTGGGGATTATCAATGACCTAGAGAATACTTGAGAGGGAATAAAGACATACTAAAAAAAGAACAGACAGGCACCATTTTGTATAAAGAAACTGCTTTATATTCTGAAAATAGCATAATGCCTTTTATAGATATGTATCAAGTTTTTGGACATTTACATTTGCCATTCGACTAATAGTCCAGATTTAAATTCAAGAAGTCCTCTCTATGTTAAACAAGCTACGTTCCCAAGACAGGAGTAACCTTTATTGTATGAAAAAATTTTGGACCTTTGTTTGCCATTCAAGCATCACCATGTTTGGCATCTAGGTGTACAGTTTATCAGGTATAATAACGACCCACATTTTAATACCTTAAGCTTAAGAGCTGTTCTTGTTTAACCTAAGGAAAAAGAAACGTAACTGAAACACATTATTTTTTGAATTCATATTTCTTCCAACACCCTCTTGCAAAGAGTTCATCTTCCCACAAACAATTTACCATCTTAACAAGGTCTATTGACATCTAGCTACAACAAGGTCAAAGGGAAGTCAAAGATGCACATACCTAGTCAAAAGTTCCACAGCAGTAGAACCATATCCAAGCTGCAGTAACCCCCAGTAAGTATTACAATACTTGACGGTTCAAAAAAGATTTACTTGGAAATGTATAGTATAGATAATTACCCTCATGGCACTTGGATGAGTGGCAATGCGTACTATCCGAGCACCTGAAAGACTGGGGAAACCTGTATCTCGGAATTGCTCGCAGAATTTCCATGGAATCTGATCTCCAAAGGGTTGATGGCCATCACTTAAGCTTTTGATAGCAGATTGACGAGAAATCTGGCCTTCAAGACAGACCTGTCAATGAATCAACCATGTGGTACAACCCTTAGCATCATGTATAAAATATTTTGGTAAAAGTAGTGTTACAGAGATTATGTACTGTTATCGAAGAAAATAAGTTATGCTCAAAAACTAACACAGGCACATATCAAGTTTGAGAAATGAAATGAAGGCTGCCATCATTTCTGGAACATGGATAGATGCTGATTGGTCAAAACTAATTTTTTTTTGTTTTTTTTTTGTGTTGAAAAAAAAAAGCAAAAAGTTCAGAGTAATATAAAACAATGAGTTAAGAAGGAATAAAGCCAGGTAGAGAATAAGCTAGAATCTTGAACTACCAGTAGCAGATAAACGCAGATGATGATAAATATGATTGTTGAGAAAATACGAAATCAGGAATAACAGGCAACAATGATAAAGGAAATTTACTATTGCATAAAACAAGGTTAATGCTTGTCACCTGTTTCTGCATGAGATTTTCAGGACTCAAAAGATACATAAAGAACCACAGGCACCAAAACATACTTCAAATAAATCAAAGTAATTGATGACACCATAAATCATATTTAGTATAAACCATGTCGAATGCAGAAAAGAGTGAAGGAAATCTAAAATATTAAGATTTTAGAAATCACAAATCTAGGACAGAAACGATCATGTTAAAAACTATCCTTACATCCCCCTCAATATATAACTATATACTAGCAACAAAAGAACTTAAATGTGTCATAACTAATTTACCTGAATGACACATAAGATATCAGGAAGTTGATTCTTAGACTCATCAACAGGGCCTGCATGTAAAACATTAGCCGACGCTTTCTTCGCAATGATAAATCAAATAAAATTAGCCCAAAGAGAAAGTATACCAAGTAACACAAACAAATGATGCGCGGGAGCATCTGCCAAAAGTTGTAAATCATTAGGGGAATTTTTATAGTGAGACGCAACATATAATGCCATCATTCGCTGCAAGTTAAGATAAAAGAGATTCAACTAAGCTCTCTGTACCATAAAATTCAAATAAATAATAGGAAGAAAATATTACATCACAAAGTATTTACCTGCAAAAACAGCTCGCTGTCTTTGTGATAGGAAAACAGTGTATCCCTATTAACATAATAGAGATTACACTCACTGGGTGGAGGTAATCTGGTTTCAGAAAAGAATGAATCAATAACAACGACAGAGGCAGTTTGGTTTTTTAAGGAGATAAAGGCATTTTCATCTCCCATATGCATATGATTTACCAACCTGCTGATACTAGGTATGGAATTTGTAACATCCAAGCAAAGTAAAGCATTGAGCCAGGATTCAATGGGATCGCCAGAAGCATATCTGATAGACTCACTAAGCTCTATCTTTTTAAAAAGACGACCTGCAGTCGAGAAACCAGAAAATTTCCCAAGCAAGTCATTTGAGCATGTAAAAGTAAATTGCCAGCTTCAAAAATTGTAAAACCAGAATAACTTTTAGGGGTATGCTATTCATGTGACTATAATAACAGAAGAGAGGAAAACATCCAGCAATTATTGATACTTGATCAGGCCTTGCTGTGGCCTCCACATATAGCTCAATGATGGAATGCTTTTCTTTCATTCTGAAACATTAGCAATTTCACTTAAACAGTAAGAGCAAAATGAGATGGCCAATTAGCCATTAACCAAATGCTTCCACCTGTCCTGGGAGCAAGTTGGATATTACGATCAGTTGTGGTGAACTTTAGCATTCAGACCAAGCAAATTTAGAATTTTCCCACACTGTTTAACAAGTAATATATACAAATTTGCCATGAGAACATCAAAGTTGAGTTTATAACAAGCCATCCATAGGAGCTTTTTCCCATTAAGATAAAATCACAGCACAAACAGAGGGTTTCTTGCATATCATTGATTTATCTAGCCATCAATCATCAAAGCCATGTAAAATGTAGGTGTACCAGAAAGAAAGCCCTCTAAATTCTTGGCAGTCATGTGGCTTTGTTCTTCCAATTGTTGCAAAAGTTTTAGCGACAAAGACCGCCCAGTACCTTCATAGCTTGAAATAGAAAGAACAATATAATAAATAAACACATAGATATTCTCTTAAACTAAAAGTAACTTCTTGAACTCAAGTAGTGCATGTAGCATACTTTTAGGGAAATGGAATAACTAATATTTTAGAAATGGAAATGTAAGCTCATAATCCCAAACGTAAGTCAAAAATAACATACCCATTCACAGTAGATGAAAGGAAGACCAAATATGGACCCAGTAGGGACTTCACAACTGGCAATGGAATAGCAGCTGCTTCATCAACAACCAGTAGTTCCACCTGAGAGAGCTTTTCATGTTCATGTGGCTGTATGTACTGCAAGGAAATAAAAGAAACCACAAAGAGACATAAGCAATTCTGCAAATGATGTAGAACTATGTTCAGGCACCAGCAAGACACTCAAACAAGAAAAAACCATTTAGCTTGAAACATATATTCGTATCTCCTAACCTGGATTGTTTGTCTATGTTGTTTGTAGACATTGATTCGCACAGTTGCTTTCTTGAACTCGGGATTCACACTTTTCACAACATCATAATCAATATGTTCCTGCAAAGAAATGGGTGAAATATTAAGTACACAGGTAATCTAATAAAATATAAAAAATGAGGAAAATAGAAATAATCAAGAGGACACATCATTGCATCCAAAGAGCAAGAGGCCAAACATGTACCTTGTATTCAAGTACATCAAAACCCTTGCAGATGAACTCAAACAAAGTTTTCAAGTTTTCAGGGCTAGGTGCAGTAACAAATATATTTGAATACCTGTGAAAATGAATTTTTCATTAAACAACAAAGCCAATACAGGGGAACATGCTGCTGCAGCATGTGCAAATAGATGCTTACATGAAATTCTTATTTGAAAGTGTGGATTAATAATTTGCATTACCCTGCTGCAATAGCTCCAGCAACCGCTAAACCAAGTGCTGCAGATTTCCCACGACCACGAGCAGCAAGCAAAGCAACTGTGCTACGTAGCGTCTTGTCTAAAATTGCATCAAGAAATGTGATGACTGCTTTTCCCTATTCAAAGATAAAAGTTGTCAGACACTACACACATTTTGAAGCCTCAATTACATCAGTTAAATAAAAAAGGGAATGGAAAGCCTGATACTCCCCAAATATTCTCTACCTGATCTAGGGTACAGCACCTTTTGATCAAAGGACCAACAGGAAAATCATCATGTAGTTGTTCTTTCAAATTCTTCAGGTCACGTTCAGCCTCTGAAAGACCTTCAGAGTCCTTTCATATCACAAGACACAAAAGAAAAAGTAAAACTCGGAATGCTTTATGCATCAGTTAAGGATATCAAGGGCTAAATAGACCAATTAAAAAGCTTCTTTAAAAGCTTTCCATCATATTAATACAGCAAAAGAATGATTTGCAAGAAGCAAAATATAGAGAAGCATTTTGAAACAATTGCACATTGTAAAGTTCATGTCCAAAATCCTAATAGTGTCAAAAATAAGTCATTACCTCTTTAACTGGTACTGGTGTAATTGACCTCATATGAGATGAAATTGGTAAAATGTTTAGCTCATCGTCCATGACAACACATGCTTTGCATGAAGCAAGTGATAGTAAGAAACGCTCATTAAAGCGCCCGGCAGCCTCAGAATGGGATTCAGTACGAAACCTGTCATGGACATCCTGAAATGAGAAAAACTCAAATAAGCATTTACTCTTATGGTTTGAACACAGAGGTAACACATCTATGTATGAACAACATGTTGTCCTACAAGCTCATCAGATCGCCCCCACAAATATGTAACAAGGAAAATTTGAACAAGGATGCTTCCTTCAAGTTTGAACTAATGATGTTGCAAGCAATGAACTGATTCCAGCCTAGCTGTAATATTTTCCAGGCAAGCTCAGCCAGGGAAATTACTCCTAAGCTGTGAAGGATTCAATATATATTTTAAATATAATCTTGTAGGTCCAGATAAAATTTTGCCTAACAAATTTTGCCTATTGTGTATGCCAAAGCAATATTCCACAGGATGCTCAATTGAGGTTTCCCTTTTTCAGAATCTCATTTTATGGTTCAGACTTCTATTATAAGGTATCACCTAAAAAAACGTTCATTGACATTTGGGTAAAATAAATCTATAGACAAAAATAAATCTTTAAATTTTTAAATCATGAATGTTGTTATAATTTCCAAAGTTGATATTCCATCTAACACATCATAATTCCCAGTGATTATACTCCATCTAACACCAAAAAACTTAACAATTTGCAGAAGTTAAACAAAGACAAAGGAGTACAATATTATTCCTCCATAGAAGTGCTAATACAGAAATAGTACATGATAGGTACTACAATAATTTTTTCATATCCACTAGTTAACGAAGGCCAAAATGAAAAGCTATTTAGCAGCACAGGACATGAATTCATACCATGACCATGGTATAAAGACTCGTAAGTGAGGAAAGAGAGCGCAGCAGCAAGACAATCAAGCCACCACCTTCGACTGTCTCTATAGTTCTGGCCAGGAGATTTGGAGTCAAAGCCTCAAAGTCCTAATGAAAAGGGAAACACAATCAACTTAATCAAAATGATTTAATTATTCACTGTGAAAAACTCATAACAGAGGGTTGATATAAGCAGAGTGACTCGCATTTATAAAAGCAAATAATAGACAAATTGAAACAAAAAAGTAACCTGCAATATGCACATTCCAAAAGTATTTCCAAGTATTCTTTCAGAATCCTTGTACAAGCAATATGTTAATCCTCCAGTCTCAACAAAAAGTTGAAAAGGATCAACCTTCTCAGGATCCAACAATCCCCTCTGCATCAGCTTTTTTATCTGCTTTGCTCTCTTTTTCTTGTGACTGCATAATCATAATCATAATCATAATCATAATCACCCCAAAATAAAAATCCTTAATATAGTTAGTAATTAACTTCAACACTAAAGCTAACATTAACTAAAACAAACAAATAATTGTCACCTAAAAAAAAGTTCAAATATTATTCCAAGAATTAGCTCAAAACATTAAAAATAAAATACAATTTCAAGGATAAATGCAACACCTGCTAAGTTCAAGTTTGTCCTTGTAGCACCATAAGACAGTTGGCCTGGATTTCACCACTGACTTACTCAGCATGTAATGAAGATTCACAATCTACATAAACACAAAAACCAGTATCAAGCAAATAAATTTCCAAAACAAATCACAACCTGCAAATTTCCAAATCCCTAAGAGAATTCATTTCAAAAACCAAGCTTCAAGCTCCATAATTTTATGAAAATGGCGTGCCTGATCGCGTGACTTGTCGCCGATGATGACAAACATAGAACGGTGTCGTAATTTGACGCCATTTTCAATGAGAGTTCTGATTCGTTCGTCCACCTTCTTCCTCATTTCTCTTTGCAACCCCAACAAGAGTACTCTGAAGAAGCAAGAAACAGCTTAAACTTTGGCTATTTTTTTAAAATTAATTAATTATGATAAATCTTTTTGCAAAATTTGAGTTAGGAATGCCCTGATGCTGTTATTTTTTCCTCTCTGCGTTTTTAGGGTTTATGGGAGGTTTTATAAGATGGCGGTTAAGTTCGGACTACTGAATCCATGGTCTAGGGCAGAAGCTCATTTTACGAACCGGGTTGTTATTTGAATTTTGAACCGGATTGTTTCTGTTTTAAAATTTTGAACCGGAGTAATAATTTTTTTCCCAAAAAAAAAAAAAAATCCTGAAATAAAGAATTCTTATATTTTCTGAACACTTTTAGTGCCAAGACTAAATTACATTAATTTAAACAAATAAGGACATTATTACTTTTAATTATAAAAATTTTTATTGAAGGATAAACAGATTGAAATAATATTATAGATTATATAATAAAGAGTTATATTGCATCAATTAATGTAGGATTATTAAAATAGATTGTGACATGAGAAGACGATTCGCCTAATGTGAAAATTAAACGGTTAGAGTTAAGTCTAAATAAGTTCATGTCGTAAACGGATAACTCTATATGATACGAATTTAAACAGGTCGTGTCACGGTTCGACTCGTCTAACCTATTTATTTTAAAGATAAAAATATAAATTCGTATATAATATGTATAATAAGCGAATTACACGTGTTATACGCATTGTGTTCTGACCTGTATACGATACATTTAATTATATTTGATTGAATTTTTTAACTCATGTATCACCTATTTAATTAAACAGATTATACGTATCATGTTTGTGTCATTCGTTTCGTATCATGTTCATGTTTAAATATTTAAAACGATTATGAAATAAGTCCTGATCGTATTTGTGTTGACTATAATCGTACTAGAATATTAACCAACCCATTTTGACATTCCATTCTCTACAAATAATACTTATCATTTACATATAAAACGAATACAAAAATATTGTTAGCAATTTAGCATCACAACAGAGTTAAAACGTGGGTTTTATTCATAGCTATAGCTTATAAATATAAATCAACATAATATGGGATCAATATGCCATCATACATCATATGTACCTCCTAGCCATAAGGCAAAGAGCATTTTTCTTGTGCATGGTGATGCCAGGTTGTGTGTCCATGTCCAAATCTTCCTTCTTCATTCCATTAGGCAATTCCCAATCAAATTTATAAAGCAAATTAGCAAGACATAGCTCTACCGTTGCAAGACCTATAGAAATCCCAGGACAAAGTCTTCTACCAGCTCCAAATGGTATTAGTTCACAATTTTGCCCTTTGAAGTCAATAAATTTACCAATAAACCTTTCAGGGCAAAATTCTTCTGGATTTTCCCAAGCTTGAGGATCTCTTCCAATAGCAAATAAATTAACATGAATAACAGTTTTAGCCGGTATTTGGTATCCATCTATCCTACAATCTTGAGTAGATTCTCTTGGAATTATAGGAATAGGAGGTTGCATTCTCAATGTCTCTTTGACGACAAGTTTAAGATAAGATAGGTTTGGAATGTCATCTTCATTTACTAAACCTTTGTTTCCAACAATGCCCCTAACTTCCTCTTGAATTTTCTTCATTGCTATAGGATTCTTCATTAGGTACGTCATGGCCCAAATCACAGTTGCTGTAATGGTGTCAGATGCACCAACGAATATGTTCTATGACATTCAGAAAAAAAAAAAAAAGAAATATTGTTCTGAGGAAGAAAATAATAAAGAAAAATACAAATATATATATATATATATATATATACTTTGAAAATGATCAATAATTTATAGTAATCTTTATTGAAAGTTTTCTTTGCATTGAATGGTATATGACAGGTCATAATTAAACCATAGTTTCACATTAATTAGGTAAATTATATATTATTTCACGAAAAGTCTAAATGTTAAAGGTCGTTTACAGGAAATATATTCATACACATTATGTAGAAATTATACGTGAATTAAGTAATAATCTTATTTTTTTTAATAATAATGTGGAAAAAACATGGTTAACAATATATATTTGAATTATATATCAATAAATTACTTAATTTAATAACCTAGTATTAAAATGTCAAAAAGAGTATACGATTGAAAAATTGAATAAATATATGTTCTAATTTATTGCAAAGGCAAGAAAAAGGGTGTAAATTATTTTTTTTTTCAATATATAAAAAATATATTAAAATAAATAAACCATTAAACCCACTCAAACTGAATCAAATTGCATTCATAGATTTTAATTAATTTGAGTGCTTTCTATGGTTTAATTCGATCTAAATTTTTATAAACCATTATTATAAGATTAGTTTGAATAAATTTTCAAATCAAACCATGAACACATACATTTATCCAAGGCAATAAGTTAGATTAACAAATAAACCAAATTCTTGTACAAGGGAAATCTAAATGAACCAAATTATTTATGGAATAAAATCGAACAAAATCGATTTGATTAGATCATATCTCTCATTTTTGATTTAATGTTTTTTGGGCTAAATCATTTTGCCTTTTAAGGTTTTTATGTTTCAGTTTTATATAATAAAAATTGGACTGAACTGAAATTTGATTTTTTTTATCAAAACATAAACCGAAGTGACTTATTTAAAAAAATAGACTAGTCGTGGCTTTTACCATTTTGCTCAAACCTATCTTTTTTTTTTTATTTTTTTTTTTTATTTTTTTTTATTTTTAAATTTTTCATTGAACATTTAATTTCTGAAATAAAATATTTCACTAAAAATAAATAGAACTAAAGAAACTTAATTTTTTGCAGGAAACTTTCAAAATAAAAATATAATACTAACCATGATTACTCCTTTGATATGATTAAGGCTAAGATCAACTTTAGAAGAACCATCCTTCCAGATTTGGAGCAAAACATCAACGATGTCTTCTTGTATATGAGTCTTCGATCTACTTGAATCAAGATGTTCTTGGACTATATTTTCCAAGAAAATGTCAAATTCCTGGAAATTTTTTTCTAGGCGATGCATTAACCCAATGAGTTTATCAATAAAACCCAAGAAAGGAAAATAATCTGAAACAAAAAAGGTTGTAAATAAAGCCTCAGTTTCTTGAAGTAATGCTTGAAATTTCCTTTGATTTGTCTCTTCTTCATCATATCTCTTACCAAAAGCAACTCTGCAAATTATAGTTCTTGAAAGTGAAAAAATAGTTTTAGATAAGTCTATAGATTGAGAAGCATCAGCCAATTTAGATATATTCTCAAGCATTTGGGTAACCTCAAATTCTCTAATGGGATAAGAAGCTTTCACTCTATTGGAATTCAAGAGGTGAACCACACAAATCTTCTTCATCTCAATATAACAAAAATCATAAGGTGCAAAAGCCAAGTCTAAGCCATTATATGACAATTTTTGTTGGGCTAGCTTTGGAGGTCTGCTACTAAATTTGAGATTATGGGTTTTCATTATTTCTTCAGCCATTTTGGATGAGGAAACAACTAGAGCAGGCACAAAACCTAATTGTAACGACATTAGAGGTCCGTATTTCTTGGAAAGCTGCCATAAGTGGAACTGAGAGGTTGAGCTATCAAGTTGGTGTAAGTTTCCTATTAAAGGAAGACCTTGAGGGCCAGGTGGCCATTGAAGGTTTCTTTTATTTCTGTGTTTTTGCAGAAGAAATGTCAGAATGGCAGTAAGAGCTAACAGAAGAATGACAAATGAAATCATAATTTCAGATTTTGAGAGAGGTTTTTATCTATAGGCAATGAAGTAAAAAGTAAGATTTAGAAACTTTGTCTTCCAATTGATGCTTTGAGGAAGCTTGATTTATAATGGGTTATTTATAGCCTTGAAAGATTTTTTTTAGCAGAGATTTTAACTTAGATCTATTATCATATAGATTATACTGTGGCCCGTAAATTAATTTTTTGTTCTTGAATTTCAAAGATACGATTTATGTGGACCATCTCAATAATTAATATATTTGAAATTAATATATTTGATTTCAAAGATAAACCCTAGGGGCTAAATTCTGGCCCAATATTATTGTACCCGTGGTCATCTAATATCCACACGTTAATATATTATTAAAAAAAAAAAAAAATCCACACGTTAATAGGATAGACTTGTGAAAGTGAATAACTTATGAAAGTAAATTTTAAAATCAAATAAAGACAAATAAAATATTTCTACCATTTTTTTTTTTGGAATAAAACAGGAAAAAGAAACAAAACTACATCAAAACATTTCTAGGATAGGAAACCACACACAGGTCGTGAGAAAGTAAACTGACCAGGCCCTGAGGAGGATGCTCTAACAAAACCATTTCTAAATCAAAACTCAACCCATAATGAGCCAGTCAATCAGCACACACATTGCCTTCCCTGTAAATATGCACCACCTTAACATCCCATTGTCTATTATTCATCATGTCCTTTATACTCCATACCAAGTTAGCAACGTGATTAGGAGCACCAGCATCAACAGTAACCATCAAAACCACTTGAAGATTGCCAACCTCAGTTACCAACTTCTTGATATTAGCGTCTCAGGCTATTGTGTCGGTGCCCACTGAAGTGGGACCCACACTCTTTGAAAAAGAAAAAAGAAGCACGTGTTAAGGTACGCATTAATTGCGCGTCAGTCGGTGGACCCATCCATTACGCGTTCTCTACTCTTATAAATAAAAAAGAGAATTTGCATCAAACGTACACAACAGAAAGAAAGAAAAAAAATATATAGAGAGATAATTATCTAGTTTTGAAAGGATTTCTTAAAATTAAGGGAGAGAAAAATAGCGAGAAAATTATTATGTGGTGTTTTTTGGAAAACACTTTGAGTGTCACTATTTTTGTATTACTCTCTTTGTAAAGCCTACTATTTTAATAGTGAAAGAATTATTCAGAGTTTGTCCCGTGGACGTAGCCCTGCAATAACAGTAACGCATTCAAACCACTTGAAGATTGGCAACCCTCAGTTTAGCAACTTCTTGATATTAGCGTCTCAGGCTATTGTGTCGGTGCCCACTGAAGTGGGACCCACAATCTCTTTGAAAAAGGAAAAAAAGAAGCACCGTGTTAAGCGTACGCATTAATTGCGGCGTGCAGTCGGTGGACCATCCATTAAAACGCGTTCTCCTACTCTTATAAATAAAATAAGAAAGAATTTGAATACATGCAAACGTAGCACAACAGAGAAGAAGAACAACAAATATATCGAGAGATAATTATCCTTAGTTTTGAAGGATTTCTTTTAAAAATTAAGGGAAGAGAAAATGCGAAGAAAATTATTATGTGGTGTTTTTTTTGGAAAACACTTTGAGTGTCACTATTTTTTGTATTACTCTGCTTTGTAAAGCTACTATTTTAGATAGTGAAGAATTTTAAAGAATTATTCAGAGTTTGTCCCGTGGACGTAGCCCTAAATAGTTGAGGGTGAACCATGTAAATTTCTGTGTGTCACAATTTTACTTTTCTGCTGCATAAATTTTCTCTTAATTTATTAAAAAGGCCCAAAAAGTAGTATCAGAGTTGAGGCAAGTGGTACCTAGCCCTAACAAGTTGTATCAGAGCCGAAGGTTTCAGCAGGTCCAACCGGTCAGATAGCGATACCAGATTCGTGGATATATTTTGAAAATAAATATACGACGACGAAGAGAAAATTATGATGAGTCCATTGGTACTGTCCGCTCAGAAAGACGTTGCAGAATCGATTTAGTGATGAATAGTAAAATAGTAACTGGCTTTACTGTTGTTGCGTCCGTTTCAAGTAAGCCAGCAACATTCGCGTATAATACTATTCACGTGTACATTTATTATTCACGGATACAGTTACTACTCGCGTATACTGTTACTATTTATGGTCACTATTCACGTATACTACTGTTCACGTATACAGTTTATGTTGGTGATGATATTCTGCACAAGTAAAAATGATACTGTTACTATTTATGGTCACTATTCACGTATACTACTGTTCACGTATACAGTTTATGTTGGTGATGATATTCTGCACAAGTAAAAATGAACAAGCAAAATGATCAGTCTAAATGGCGCGAATTATCATATATGGAGAAATAAAATGAGAGATCTCCTTATGGTAACCAAAATGCATCTGCCCATGCTTAGTTCAACTAAACTGGAAGACAAGACTGATGAGGAAACAGCTTTCGAGCATGCGTTCAAATCTCGGTTGGTAGATTTGATGATGAAGGTTTTTGTAGCACCTTTAGAAATGGTCAGTGGAAGCTCACAAAAGGTCCATTTATTGTAGCTAAAGGAATGACAACTCTGGCAAGAAAGAACATACCACCTGGATTGGATAAAGTTCACCTAGACAAGTGTCCTGATTGTATGACGGGAAAGCAAAACAGAGTAGCTTTCAAGATTACCCCTCCTTCCAGAATGAAGAATGTATTAGATCTGATTCATTCAGATTTGTGTGGACCATTGACGACCATTGATCAGATGTCATTATTGGCGGATAATCGATCTATTGTGACATTTTCGATGACCATTCCTAGGAGAGACCGTCCGTATCATTGAAGTGCACTAAGGACAGATAACTTGGTTGGGCGAATAACACTGGCCATTTGATTACTTTCTGCAAGAGCATGACATTTGGAGCATCAAACAACGACCTCTCAAGACGCCGTCATACTGAATGGTTTGGCTTTGAGAGGAAAGAATAGCAACTTTAATGAGAGAGATGTCACGATGTTTACTCTGCAACATGCAAAGTTGTCTAAAAGATTTTGGAGGTGAAAGTTCCTCTTACAAGCAGTGTCACCCTGTAGTTCTTTCTTACAGTAATGATACCTGAAGGAAGAGTGATCAGAGAAAGGATGTTTCCTATGATGCATTTGCTGGTGTTTTGATTGCATATAGCCTTGCATGTCTTATGCCGAAGGGATGAACGGTCTTATGTCAGCTTGAAATGTACCTAAAACTAGCTAGTGTGTATTCATCTGGCTATGGCCAAAACGAATTTGCTATAAGTTTTAGTGACCCATATCAGAAGAACGATTAATGAGAAAATCGTGAATGCTGTTTTGTTGAAGATCAGACTATATTTAAGAACTATTGAAGCAAACTGCAATCAGATCTGATGACGGACTCAACGACATACAGAGAGTCCTCCAATAGGTAGACGCAGACAAATTGGAGATGAAGAAAATATTTCGCACGAGATAAGTGGCCATTGTTAGAAAATCCAGAAAGTTTTCCTTATACAGAATGAACCAAAAAGATGATTTTGATGGTGTTCATCGTTCAATTACCTGCCAGCACCGGAAGGTTTCTCAAACATTAAAGTAAGATCTTGAGTAGAGTCTAGAAAACACAATCTGCTAGATAATCCAGGTCATGAGTCGTACTGAGACGACTGATGGGGAGAGAACCTGAAAAGCTTTGAAAGAAGTCTATGGAAATGAACATAAAAAAGCACTGGATTGAAGGCATGCTCGAGAATGGATGCTTAGTTTTAAATTTGAAAATCGACAAAGTTGGATGGAAGACTACCTTCCTAAATGGAGATTTGCGAAGAAGAAATATACCATGGAGGCAGCCAGAGGGTTTCGTAGAAAATAGAGAATTGAGCTGTTTTGGCAAACTGAAGAAGGAGCTTGTATCGGCTTGAAGCAAGGCAACTTAGGAGATAGTGGGTACAAGAGAAGGTTTTGAGTGCTAATTTATAGGGAGCATGGTACGAAAAACTACATTTTAGATCACTCTGTGTTTTTCTATGAAAGAAATTTCTTTGATGATGACTACATTTGTTTTTGCCTCTATGTGGTTGTATATGTTGATTTGTTTGTGCCAGCAATTACTACGTGAAAGAAATAGCGCAAGTAAGTCTTATTGCATTGAAGACTTGGGCCCAAGCAAAAGCAGATTCTTGCATGAAGATTACAAGGAATCGAAGAGCTAAGAAATTATGGTTGTGCACAAGAGAGATATATAGAAGAGTTACTTCAAAGGTTTAGAATGAGAAAATGACGCTAAAGCGGTTTTTAGTATGTCCCTCCTTACTAAAATATATATAGGAGATATATAACAGTGACTTCTATGGATGGACGAGAAGGAAGAATAGTGGAAATAGATATACAATATGCTTAGCAGTTGGAAGCTTGATGAAGTGCATAGTATTGTACACGGGCCAGAGAAGCTTGATGAATGCCATGGTTTGTACACGGCCAGATATTGCTCACTTAGTTGGAGTAGTGAGTCGGTTTCTTTCAAATCCTGGAAAGGAAAATTGGACTACAGTGAAATGGATTTTCAGGATATCCAATCACATTTGTAAGGGAAGCCGTGTTGTGGCAGTCAAGATTACTGTAGCGTGCAAGAGTTGCTGTGGATGAAGAAATTCTTAAATGAACGCAGAATTCATCAAAAGCGATATCAGATATTTTGTGACAGTCAAAGCGCAATTCAGCTTGGAAAGAATTCCTCCTTCCATTCAAGATCAAAACACATTAGTGTTAGATATCACTGGATCAGTGATGTGTTGGAGATGAAGCTGTTACGGCCTGAGAAGATCCATACATAAGAAAATGGATCAGTTATGTTGATGAAGATTCTCCTTTGTTGTGTCAGTGCCCACTGAAGTGGGACCCACACTCTTTGAAAAAGAAAAAAAAAAGAACATGTTAATGGACTCATTAATTGCTCATCAATCGGTGGACGCTTCAATTAAGCGTCCTCTTCTCCTATAAATAGAGGAGAGGATTTGCATCAAAAGTACACAGTAGAAAGAAAGAACAAAAAATGTAGAGAAAGAGTTATCTAATTTTAGGAAGGGTTTCCTAAAACTAGGGGAGAGAAAAATAGTGA